TTCCTACAGTTCATATTTGTATGAAAGAATAAACAGAAATACAGGAAATGTAGAGGCCTTCCTTTAGAGTCCTCTGAGGTATCACCTATTCCATACAACACTGTTCTAGTTTTGCAGCAAAACAGTGGTGTATATATATGGCCATAATTAGGAGGAGCTGGTCAGAAGACAGATTACAAAACAGAGGTTCATAAAGCACATCAGTTTTGAGTTATGAGGCTGGCATCTCACAAGCACGCTGGGTTGTAATTGCCTAATCTTTTCAGAGTTATGTGCATGTGCATGCATGTAAATCAAAGAAAGGTGACTGAAGTCCATTAAAACTGAGTCTATATTCTGAAAAGAGGTGGCATGTGGAAACAGAACTCACATGAATTCCGAGGATTAAAAAAAAACAGGCTCAAAACCAAGTACACAAAGGGGAGCATCAAGTGGAGAACTCTACACCTTCTCAAATGAAGTCATAAAGCCTCTGAACACTGCTAAGTACCTCAGTACTTGGTACCATGGAGATGGTGGACAAAGTCTGAAACTTCCGAGAACCTCAATCTTTACGGTTAAGTGACTACAAGCTACGTAACATACTAAAGACAGACTTGGTAACGATGCAAGGGTCAGTCACCAATAAACCAAAGTCATAAGCTCTGTCAGCTCCTGAACAAGGCTGCTTCAGTAAGCTGTCCTGCATATTGTTCATAAAATGCTAGTGCAACTGTTTTAGTTCTTACACTTCTTTTTAATTGGTTGAAGACAGGCTCCTCCATATAAAATGAGGTGTGATCAAACAGGGCATTTATTTCCTTTCCCCACTAAGAATCCTTAAAACACAAAATAACCTCCTCTTCCTGACTCTGGAAGCATATACACACATCTTCACTGCTACAAGAAGTGCTTTTTAATGTAAGAAGCACTCTCTCAATAAACATTCGAAAGTGAATGAAGATTTGTTTTGGAGCTCAGACAGCAACTTCAGGGGCTACAGTCCAAGCCCTTCTGGCTATTCCACAATGCAGAAAGTATTTACGAAGCTGTAGTGAAAAGCTCTACAAGCACATCTCAAAACTAAAGCTTCGAGTCAGCTTTTGCGTGTGAGATAGTGACATCCAGTGGCGAATTTGGGTAACTGTAATGATCTCTTGCACAGAAAAACCCCAACAGTTGTATTTTTTTAAAACACAGTAGCTAAAACTTATTTTAAAATATTTAAAACTTAAAGAAAAATACACTTATGTTTCCTGAACAGAGAAATATACTCTTATATATTAAGTATAAAAATGGCATGTTTATCTACAGTGAAAAATTACATTTTGCTTCCAGTTTTGAATTAAGCTTACAATAAAAGCAAAAATATTTAGCTGTCCTTAAAGAAATAGATCATTCCCAACATTACAGCTGTATTCTTTTCTATCTTGTTCACACAAAGAATCACTGCTTCATCTTTTCATGACATTCCCAATTCGTATTAAAAAAAACAGGGTTCAAGATTTGAGCTTATGATTCTCAAAATGCACAACTCAATTCTCCAAAAATTATTCCTCCATTTAGGATTCACAGCCACAGCAGATCACCATCTAATACAGCTTTTCTAGAGTAAAACCTTCCTTCAAGACCCAGACGATAAAAATTAGTCAGACTGTCCTCCCAAGTTCTTTATTCAGAATACACATAGGGATGTAAGACACCTCTATTTACTGTCCTTCCATGCCTTTGAGAGAGAGATGTTTTTTATGGGAGATGGGATATCCAAAGCACTATTTAAATAAATATACAATAAATTGAAAATAAATACATATTTATTAAGCTAGCAAATGCTCCTGGGCAACAGAAGTTCAAATTCCCTTATTGGATCTGTTCCATTTTGTCTAGAATAATGAGATTCATTGGACCAAAAAGAAGGGAAAATACCCTCCACACTAAGGGTATGGCATTTCAGTGGATGTAGAAAGAATTCTACATTCTCATTCTTGGAAACTCATCTCAGTTATTAATTTTCCAGAGGGAACAAGGCCAACTTCAAACTCCAGGAAGTTTGCCAACTAAATTCTACTAATCCATCTTTTCACAGATTTATATACAACAAAACTACTTTCTACTATGGTACAGTTGCCGGGCTAGTATTACTTTCTCCTTTCTTATGTTCTTCCACTTTGGCTGACACCATGTGCTGTTGTGTAAGATACATTAAGGAAGGCTGAAGATCTGATCTGCTGCCTGCAGGACACACAGAACCAGTAACAAACCACCCCTGTCTTGTCCTACCCTCTGAAGGATCCAGCGGAGCAGCTACCAGCTCTTCTCTACGCACATTCCGAACTGAAATAAACGGGCTCTGTCACAAGCCACCTAAATTCAGGTCTCCCAGTCAAAAGCAAAGGTATTCCAGCAGCCTTATACCTTTGGCTCTCATTCACTTACACATACAAAAAACTCTAAGTAGGCAAAACAGTCCTTAAATCCATGGTGTCATTATTTTGGTTTGTCAGCAAACAGGCCCTTACATTATGTTATTGCACTACCACCTAATAAATCGACACATGATGAAAAGACATGCTTTAATTAACTCCGAGGGTTTCTCTAATGGTTAAAGACACCTATTTTTGTTTTTCTTAAACTGAGTGCTTTTAGGCAGGTTTAGATAGAAGACAACTCAGATAAAAGTTTGGGTCTTTCTGAAGAGCAGAAAATAGGAATACTTTTCTGATAAACATATATATGGTTTGTAAAAATCTTATGTAACTGTAACATCTACATATTATCATTTCAGCAGTTAGGGTAGGTTTAAAAACACCAAGCTTACAATTTTGAAGTGTGCCTTTTGAGATGTTCATCCTTCAAAAGAATATTGACAGAATTTTGGAATTTGGAGCTGTTCATACATTTGCACAGCAGTACTTTTAGAACACAAAAACGCACACCCCCCTGATCACATAGATACTTTCTAAACCAAGAATTAGCCACCTCCTAGCTACTGCAATATGTTAGTGGAATCAGAAATTGGCAGAAAATAGCAAGTAAAAATCCACTTGTGCTGTATAATTAAAAATAAAGTGCGTAATACTCACACTCTTAGGAGTTCTTTTATTAAAAGGCTGTAATGCCCTGGGATCTTACATTAAAGGCCAAAATTACTCTGGTAATGGAACACAAAATGAAATAGTGCCTCAAATGTCAACTACACTAGAGAGGACAAGAGAATTTAAGCAAGCACAAGATTCAGTTAGCATCCCAAAAGGTGGAAAGGATTTCTCTAATAAATCTTGTGCCAAACAAGAGTAACACACAACTGGACAATACTGAAAAAGTAATTTCTGTCATCTTATCTATGTTATGCTAGAGAGGACAGTTCTAACTGCTGCATCTCACCAGTTTTACATACTTACAGAAGAGGGAATTTTCATTTTTTTTTTTCCAATCTCATACAAGGAAGAAAACAAAGTATCAAACTACTTGGGGAAAGTTTGCATTGGATGTACTAAATAAGGCACATTGTTTTCCACTACAAGAAACCTGCTGCTTGGCTGCTCTGAACCACCTCATTTACTGTGAATCAAATTCACACAAGCTGTGAAGCCAAAGGCTATTGGGAACAGGTGGTGTCTCAGTATTGATGAGGTATTACACCTTTCAGTGTGTGATACTAAAGCAACAGAATGGATGATTATGGGACAACATACCAAGCCTGCACCTATGTAGTTTGCTAAATTAGCCTAGCTGGCTGTAATTCTTGCTAGAGGAATGAGTGGAGAGAGGCATGCTAAGCTAACCCATGGGAAAGGTACAGAAATAGATCCCAGACTAACACTGCACCACCCTTCCCTGTGCTGTGCAGCCCTCCAGAGCTCCACTCCAACCCTGATCCAGAGACTCGCAAACCGTGTATGCACATACACCTGCTCATCTCCCTCAGGTCCCTATTTCCACTGCTGTGAAGAGCATTCAAGTATTTAAAATTAATTTCACAAATACTCAGCTTAAAAATTGAAGCGTTCTGCATTTCTGTACCTAACTATTCTTCATATTAGTCCAAGTTCAATTTTGTAGATCATCTTTCCTATGTCTTAAATGACACCTGTTTTTGACAGAAGCTTAGGCCTCCACACAAAGGTTTAACTGCTTCCAGGTACAACTTTTACTAAATATGCATAGCAGTCTTCCATTGTGTTCATTCCCATCCTAAATCTCCTAAATCCAGAGTAACCTGTTTTTACTGAGCAAAAGGGAAGTCTTCTTCATTTTTACCAGTTAATTTTTCATTTTATCAAAAAAAAGCAAAGCATAAATAAAAAGGAAATGAACACCAAAATTGCACAGAATGTAAGTTTCCCCCCCTCCATTCTGTTCTTTATCTGTGCAAAAACTATCAACATTTCATGCAATTTTAAGAAAGGATATTTATCTTGTGGCATTAAAATCATTAAATGTAAATTGAAAAAAGTGCAGGCAGTGCTGAATTACTTACACAAATTAAGCACAAGATTTTACCAAACTGGGAATTTAGATGAGGGAAAAAAAAAGAAAGAAAAAAATCCTATTAAAATTTAATACAAGTTAACTCCATGTAAGAGAGAGTGGATAACTTTATTTATAAAATACTACTGGTACACAATGCACATAGGTATTATGAAACAATTTATAAAGAAGTGAAATGCTTCACAGAAGCATGGATTCCTGAGGTATTCTGAATACAATCCCTCATTTACTGGAATTCACAACACTGCTCCCACTGGCTTAAGCAGCAGGTACTTGCTAAACACACAGTTAAGACACAGTTAAAAATACACAGACAAACGGAACAGACTGGAAGCTTGTGTCTCATCAATACTAACAGTAGTGGTCGTGGTGGGAAAGAACCTTACACTGAAGGGCACAGAGACTTGTTCAGACTGGGTTTCTCCACTTCACAGCTGATTGAAATGTACTGTAGGTACCTGCTTTCACCTCAGCAGCCACAGCCACAGGCTGCAAAGTCCTCTTAACATCAGACACAAAACCAGCCATTTCTGGACAAACATACAGAAGGACCAATTACCTGGATAAGTATTATTACTATGGAAAAAAAAAAAAAAAAAAAAGGCGTGAGGCACTTTCACTTCTTTTTGTCTTTTTCTGCTTTCATTCGCTGCTGTAAAGTCTTTAGTTCAGTCATTACATTCAAAGTTCTGTAAACCCAGTTGACCTGAAATGTAAAAAAATTACTAAGCTTAACTAATCTGTATACATTATCCATCTGATGAAAAGATCCATATATGAACACATACGTACCACAATTATAATAGTATTCACCAGCAGTGGTGCTGAAAATATAAGTGAAATAAACATTCCTCTTGAATCAAAGTATTGGTATTTAGAAAACAGCCTGAAAGAAATAAAATAAAGAGAAATAAAAGCAGAAGCTTTATTCAGTGTAGTTCACAAACCATCAGACTTTCACACTAACTATTCAACATGTATACGGTACAGATTATGCTACTAGTTGGGATCCCTAAGCACAGGCCAGCATTCTACTGTGCGAAGTCCAAACAAAGAGACAGTCAGTATCTCATCAGTTATGAATATTTATTACATTAGTCTTCCTTTTCTTGAAAGTTTTACTGTGCAAAACCTAAATAAAACCACCATAGATTAAGTAACTTTCTAATGTGACTACAACAGTACATGTATTTGCGGATCAGAAATCAAACTTGTCCTGGAGTGTCTGAAATGACTCTTGGGTGTTTTGCTTACTCGTATTAGAAAAGAAAACAGAAATAATAAATGTAGCAAAGCTGGCATTTAGGTTGCATATGCCTGAAGTGAAATGTAAGGGCTATGCAATTAGATGCCTGCATAAAAGCATAAAGCAGTGTCAAACAATTTCCAGTTACATCAGCAAAAGGTTAGTGCACTGCTTATGAAAACAAGCCATCAGTTTAATTCTAGTACACAGGCTTAGTAACCAGACAAACGTTATTCTTTTTTACACATGTAAGTAAGTCTATAAAATAGCAGTTACATTTTTGAAAAGTGGTGCTTAATTTTTAACTTTTAACCGTGGCACTATGCTTTTCTCTTAGTTCTCCAACTAGTTATGTTTACAACCATCCACACAAACAGATTTTAAGCAGTACAATAACACATCCTAGCTATTAAAAATTATCTTTTCTTACAAGCTAAGTGACAACTGTGTCATACAGTATGGTTTTGTTCACAGTTTTTATATTAACCAATGCAACAGACCCTCTGCCATTACACTCAACTGATGAGGCATGAGTGATGCTCTTTACATTAATGCTTTCTAGGAATGATATAAAAAAAAAAAATATATGTTCAGAAGAATATTCATTGACACGCAAAAATGGAAGTGAAAACATTTACCTCCAATTCATGGCTGCTAACTCATTTATATATTCAGCGCAGTACACTAAGCCCACTGTACAACAAAAGAAAAATATCTCATTCAGTATTTCTTCAAGAATAAACTGACATCACTTCTGCTATAAATACCAGGGATGTATACATGCCAGACATTAGAATTCATTGAATCTCAGAAGATTAAATTACACATTAATAATGAATTGCACAAAACAAAAGTTCTGATTTTAAAAATTCTGATTCCATATAGTTACTATGATGTATAAAGTGATGGCAAAACATGCCCACTATGTTACAAACAGAAAATCCTACTGAACTGAGCTTACAGAAAGAGCTCAGCATACAAATGAATAACAACTAAATAATTAATTCAATCAGTATTTTTTCCAACAGTCTTCTTGGTGACTGCTTCTAAGTTATGCCTGTAAAAAGAAACACCAGCACTCCTCCAAATTAATTATCATTTTAGGTGTTTTCACTTCACAGTGTGATATCTAACATTGCTGCCTGAGGTTAGGGTACCAGTTATACATAAGCACTGTGGTAGAATGTAAACTTAGTTTGAGTAAGGGTACAGAACAGTCTGCTGCCACCAGGTTAAATACTCAACAAGTATATGCTGAGTATATATTTGACATGCAATATGAAGCCATCAAGACAGTAAGAAAATTCAGGGCAATCACATGTTTAACAGAAACGCAATACAACTAAAAAATTTTAAGCTTGTCCTTGTACCATTTTCTACAAGACACAAAGAAAAAAAACCCAAGCAGACTCAGTGGCCCTGAAAAAGATGACCTGCCCAAGGCAACTAAATAACTAGCCTGGTGGTATGAAGGCGTACTCTCTTGTTTTGCCATCATCTGGGCATCTCTGCTTGCTACTGCAGAGTATAAACACACCTATGGCTGCTCAGCTGTCAAGGCAAACCAGTATGATAACTGTAATTTTCCTCGGTTACTTATGATTGTCTACAACACAAAATTGTTTACATTGCAGACAGATCAAACATGGTACCGTTTTTCAGCTACAAGTAAGGCTTGACTCAATGTGGGTATTTTTATGCACTCTTCTTGTTAACAGCAAATCTAAAAAGCCAGCAATGGTCAGTTCTACTGCATTTGCCAAAGCAGATAGCACATGGGCATTCAAACTAGTGCTAGTAACACTGGGAATAGGTTAGATAGCAAACAGCGTGTCAGTGGGAATTCTTAATGTCTGATCTTAAATATGAGAAAGAAAAGCCAGTATTCCTATAGCAAACTTTCAGGCCTAACGTATCATAAATAAAGCATTGTTATTTTGTCAGCTGTAGATAATTTTAAACTCTTCAGTCACAAGTGAGTGTAGAGAAATTACTAAGGCTTCTAGATTCCTTCTTATTATTGAAAGTTTAGCTTTAGCTGAGTTATTTTCAGCTTTCAGGAAGCTGTAATTCCTCTCTCAACCTGACTAGTTCACTAAATGGTATTTTAAAAAGTCAACATAGTCTTAAAGTGACTTTTTTTCTTGCAGATCTCTTTTAATCACTTGTTTTCCCTCCACTACACTGGAACTATGACAGAACTGATTTACTGTGTAAAAAACCCCAACTCAGTAGAAGATCCAACCCACGGCCAGAACCCAGGTACTGATCATAACATGCAGATATAACCCAAATGCAAGCCATCGTATTTACACTAAATACCCTCTGCAAAGCTACTAGATCTTCAGCCAGTCAGCCACAAAGACACAGCTTTGTCTAGGTAAGGCCACTGTGAAGTCTCAGGCTGAAGCTGCATAAACCTTAAGATAACAGAAGCTGTGAGTGCAATGTACCAGAACAGTCTTGTGCTTCCTCGTGGCACTATGACAACTGTCATCAGGGCATATGGTGAACCTGCTCCAGAAATGAACCCAGGTAAAAGCTGACTCTCTTCATTGAACTGCAACTTTAGAATGAGGCAGAGCAGAAAGCAACTGCTGGCTTTCAGCAGATTTCTTAACTGCTTCTCTAGCAGAGAAAAAATTTTCTTGGGACAAGCACAGAGAGTTTGTCAGAAACCTTACTTATCCGAGATCCTAACTAAGGCCAGAGTTTTAAGTCACTGCTTCATAGAGTGTTGGAAACTAACTAAGTAAATATTTATAGGTCACAGCAGTTTCTGTAACAGTTTCTCATGTATACACACACACTTTACTACAAAAAGAAATATTCATCTGTACGTACTTTACCTGCGGCAAAGTATAAAACCATGCACTGCGCAAGTACACGAAGGAAACTGTTACGTTGAGAGACCAAAAGAAGCTCCCTGACAGTATCATCCGATTAAACAATGCACATGCCCCCCCATCCTCCGAATGCCGACCCAGGGAGCCACGAACACACTACTCACCCATGCAGAGGAAGTGCCCTATTTGCACCCGGTAGTGCTGGAAAGAGATGCACGTCAGGAGGAAGCAAAGAACATGGAAAACCCCCAGCCCCAGCAGCCAGGGCTCGGACCAGTCCGTCCTCTACGGGCAAAACGAAAGCAGGTTAAGCTACGGCAGGAGTGTCCCCAGGCACCTCAAGCCAGCAGCTTCCCTTCTCCCTCACCACCATCACAACCAAGTTCAGTCACGAACCGCGCTCAACCGCCCGCCCGGCGTCAAGCTGGGGAAGGGGCGAGCACCCCACTGCCGGCTCCCCTCCCTCCCACACAAACGCCAGCCGGTTCCTCCTCCCCCCCCCCCAAGCCAGCCTGGCCCCTGATGCCGCCTTACGGCCAAGATGGCGGACAGCCCCGGCGGGCTCCTGAAGGGTTCCTCCATGCCGGCGGCAGCGCGGCTGCTGGCGGCGCCGAAGTCTCGCGAGACGAGAAGAGTCTGCTCGCGAGACTTCGGCAGCCCTCAGTTCCCCGGAGGCTGTAGTGAGGCTGATGTTGGGCTCTTCTCCCAAATTACTAATGCTAGGATGAGAGAAAATAGCCCCAAATTGCACCAGGCTAGGTTTTGACTGGATATTAGGAAGAATTTCTTCACTGAGAGAGTGGTTAGGCACTGGAATGGGCTGCCCAGGTAGGCGGTAGAGTCATCCTCCCTCGAGATGTTTTAAGAAACAAGTAGATGTAGCACTTGAGGCTGTGGTCTAGTGCTTAGAGAAATGCTGGGTTGAGAGTTGGACCTGAGAATCCTAGAGGTCCTTTACAACCATAGTGATTCTATAGGACTCAGGCTGGTGTCAAGGTGTTCACAATACTTTGGATCAGGGGCAACACTTGGTGTCTGGCTTCAGCTGCTTTAGGGATAGAACTGCAGGATACAGGGAGTTTTAAGCTCATTTGAAAATTTCTGACCAAAATAAATAAATTAAAAAAAAAAAAAAAATCCAGACAACCCAGTTGAGCATTCCAGGCAGGAACTTTGGTCAGGTGAAAAATACTATTTTTTTTTTTTTTCCAAAATGAAAAAAAAAAAAGTAATCACTGTACAATAGAAAGTAAGACATTTAAAAGGTTAAATCTCTCATAACTCCTTCTGCTAAATGCATGTAGGTCTGGAAGACCAGTCATTCTTAAAGACCTATCACTTGAAGAGAGGCTTCAAACTCAGCCTTATCAATTAAGCTAGGAGACTTTAATGGATCTTAATAGGATTACCTTTGTCAAACAAACCATACTGTTGTCTATAGCTCCACATTCTGCTTCCATCAAATTATTTTTCTGACACTTTGGCATGTCAGATGTGAAGCTTTGGCTTTTTTTTTTTTTTTCCTTCCCAGATGTTTGGAAGTGCATGTGTAAGTAAATATTGCAAATATGTTTTCATTTAGTTTACCATATGGCTAAATACAGGTCATCACTGTGAACTACTCACTCCTTATTGTCACGCTTCTGCAATTTGTTGTGAGACACCTGCAACTGAGGATGTTTCTCCATTTTGCTTTAGATTTTTGGTAGTCTTTTTCTCAACAACAATAATATCTGGAGGTGAGTTGAGGCTTTTACTTAAAGTACTCTAAAATTAAGTAAGATGAGGGAAAGGTGGTAATTTCTACTAACATTCTGCTCTTTAATTTTAAGACTGAGGGACAAAGATGTTTTATTCCACATTACAGATTGCAAAATAAGACTGGAAGAAACTGACTTGTCATTTGGAAAGTCTTATGGCTAATGTAACATCAAATGGTTCTGGATTTTTGTAAGTGAGGAATCAGTTTCTTGCAGTTGCTCAGTGATTGACTGCAGTAACCGTCTGCAATAGCTGAAGGGCTTTAGTGAATGAAGGATACATTTGCTGCTTTATGAGTGGAATATGCCAGTCAGTGGTGAACCTGTGATATGGACTGGGTGGGTAAAAAATTACTGGTTTATTATGGCTACAATATAATGTATTAAAAAAAAAAATCATGTAGCTTTTACTGTCTGTCAGCTGCTCTAGCAGCAGTGGAAAGTTGCTTATAGGGGAAGTTAGTTCTTTCAGATTGACTAGGATAATGTCAATAATGCTGTTTGTCAGCAGGTGGTAGCAGATACATAAGTATTCCAGATAGTCTGTGTGATATAGGTTATCTTTCATTTATTTTTAGTGGGGAATGAAATATGAAACAGGAGATACTTAAAAGGGAACAGATACATTGCTGTTTCATGGGGAAAAACCTACAGTTTGTCCTTTTACAGCTTCTTCTCAGAGCCAGTAGGCTACATTTACACCCGGATTTTAAAAATACTCTAGTAACTAGACATACATAGTACCAGTGCTAATATAGGAACAATTTTCTTCTTGTTACTCTAAGTAACTTAAATGGTTTCTAAACCTCACTCTCAGTTTTCTGTTGCAAGACTCAGATTCTTGTATCATGCCTATGATAGGTAATCCTGAACTTAAATGCTGAACTGTGTTTCTAGTGGTAGCCCGAGGTGTTCACTAGCAGATCTGCTGAGGGAAATGCAGCTCTAGTTCTCCATGGGAATGGAAAAGATCTGGTTTCCAAATTCTTTATAAGTATGGGAAATGCTTAATTTCTCTTATTTTATTGGGTGAGTTCTTGAAGTAGCAGATAGATAGACGGTTTTTAATGGTCTTGTTTCATTAAGATCCTAAGATATAGGTTTGCTTTTGTGATAAGGCATTCTTAGTTTCTGCCTTAAGCTAAAGTGCCTTGCAATATGATATCCATACTTAAAATACTATTGAAAAATTAAATCTAAATTTTTGTGGTCCTTGTGCTGAGCAAATAATATCCTACACCATTTTCTTCTTTGCATTTGATATATTAAATGGTCTGTCTTTGCATGGTGTGTCCTATTGTAAACTGGATTTTGTTCCTGAGGGATAGGGTTGTCTTGACCTCTAAACATTTTGAGCTTTTATGGGCAAAATATTTTACAATGGTATCAATTTAAACAGGCAGGTTCTTGGGGAAATGTTATGAGGAAATTTCTTGTCTTTAAGTATGAATTAAAATACAGAAAATGCAAAATATAAATAGGTTATAAATGTCTTAATGTGCTGAGGTGGGTAAGTGTGACGGGAGATCAGGGCATGAGAGGTTATATCCGCTTGTTGGATCACAGCCTGCGGTTACTCTGCTGTCCTTGTCCATAACTTGCATGTTGTTCCACAGCTACCCAGGCTTTGAAGGGCTTCTTGGGTGCTAGTGAGGCTGTTTTTTTTTTTTGTTTGGGTGTCCCTGAGCTCGATCTGCAGGCAGAGATCTCTGGCTGCAGAACCAGGAGTTCTTATGATCTGTTGTTTTCAAGGGCACTCGGGTTATTTGCTGCACCACACGAACGTGTTGGCCCATAGTGACTTGGTTTGTGATGTGGATTCTTAGTAGCACTCAGAACATGTGACCGCAGCCTCACCAGACAGACACATTCAATGAGTTATGACCAGACTGAGCCACCAGGTGCCAAAGTTCAGCCTCAGCAACTGTAACCTTGACAAACAAAGGAAGTACTTGGGTTTCATGGTTGTGCTTAAAAGTTTTCTTAAATTTACTTTTGCTTCTCAATGCAACTGAAGTGAGCCTGAATCAGGTATGCATTCTAATACATGTTCCACTAAAGTCCTTCACTTTCCCTGTCCTTACTGTTACCAAGTAATTATTTTTGAGTGCTTCCATTATTTTTGCAGCTGCTGTTGTCTTTCTATCTTTCTGTTGTACCAGCTTTTGTCGATTATGTTGTACTTGGAATAATAATAGTAGTGTTTTAAAAATTTCTTTATAAATAGAATTTGAAACTTCCTGTGTGTTAGTTTGTGTATGTCGTTTGTGGGTTTCAGGCTTAGATGATGGATGCCGCTTCATCCAACCTTGAGGATAGCCCTGCTTCTGAGAAAGAAAGTTGGACTGGGTGACTTCCAAAGGTCTGACCTACATTGCTCTTTAATTTTGATTTCCCAGTGATACAGACTGGGACTGCCTCTCTGGGGAGCAGCACTGCCGAGCACAACCTGGGGAGACTTCTGGGGGCAAAAAGCTGAATATAAATCAGCAGTGTGCCCTGGCAGCAAACAGTGCCCACGGTCTGATGGGCTGTATTAGCAGCATGCCCAGGAGATTAAGGGATTCACCATTCATTAGACCACATCTGCATCTAGCTTTGAATATCTCAAATACAAAGACAATAATGATAAACTGGAAAAAGTTCAACAGAGAGCTGTCAGAATGTTCAGGGACTTGAAGCGTGTGTCTGGGGTGGGCGGACTAAGGGAACTGGGCTTGCTGGGCCTGGAGAAGAGATGCTCCAGGGAGAGACTCATAACAACCTGCCAGTGCTTAGGAGTAGCTTATCAAAAAGGTGGAGCCAGGCTTTTCTGGTGGTGTGGCGGGAGAGTGAGATGCAATGCACATAAATTGAAACCAGGGAGTTTGGGCTGGATGTAAGGAAAAGCTTTTCCCCATGAGGACAATCAAACAATGGAAAAGATATCCAGAGAGGTTGTGGGGTGTCTGTCCTTGGAGGTTTTCAGGACCCAGCTGGATAAAGCCCTGAGCAACCCAATCTGGCTGCACAGTGGACCTTGCTTTGAGCAGGAGGTTGGAATGACCCCCTAAAGTCCCTTCCAACACGAATTTTTATGATTCCATGACTCCACAATTTAAATGAGAAAAATCAGCTGCCTAGTTGTGTTCACTAAACAATGTTGCATTAGCCTGGAAGTGAAATGAATGCTTTTGTATGGATTTTTTGCATCTTATTCCCTTAACTTCATCTCTTTCATCCACTTTCTCTCAGAGCTTTTCCTCAGTGCAGAATAGCTTCAGGCTTCTCCAGGCTCACTTTTCTTCCTCCACTATTCCCAAACCATACTGGCAGTCTGAAATGCAAATGTCTTTTTGTTCCCTACCTCCTAACATGACCGCCTATTAAATTATTCCACTAATCCCACCAAAGTTCTCAGAATTCTTTCAAAGCCCTACTGTGTTCTGGGAAAACAATCAGACTTCACTTTTGTTGGGGTCTTTGCCCAGTCAGAGTGGAAGAGACCAAATGTAGTTGCAAGCCAAAAGCAGTCCTGACAGTCTTAGATCTTGCTCTTAATTATACACTTTACTTTCTCTTTGACTCCCTCTGAAGTTTTCTTCTCTCAGAATTGCTGCATTGGTTGTTTTTCAGCACAGAAGTACCACCTTGTGTGGTTCCACAGGGTGGTATGGAAATGAAGTACCTTTACATTTCTTTGGAGTGTGAGTGCATTCCACCTGGCACACAGTACAGTGCATTTCAGTTGCAACACAGCTGTTTGTAGAAGGAATAGAAGTATTTAGGATGTGCAGGGCAACTTTCATGACTGTATCTGATCTGATTCCAGAACTCGATGTTGTTG